AAACAAAATGTGAATCCAGTCTTACCGCGCCAGAGTCCCTGTTTATTCCTCTAAGTAGAGGTTCTTAACCTGGGGCACAGGACTCTTAGGGGGTGTCCGGATGTACCTTCTTATAGTACCGTCTTCCCCCAACATTGTGTGCTTAAACTGTGTGTGCTTAGGAGCAGCTGCATTTTTTGTGAGGAAAGGATTCATAGCTTTCATTATATCCTTAAAGGAACCTATGGTCAAAAAGTTTACTTTCATTTTATCTTATGTATCTTTTAACTTTTATTTTTAAAACTGTTTTTAGATGAGTAGAAGGAAATAACAGGAGGGGTGGGAAAGAATTGTAGAGATAAAATATAACAGATGCCAATTGTTTCCCACTGCTATTCATTCATTCACTCATTCATTCAACAAATTTGTGTAGAGCCCCTGTTACTTGCCAGGTACGATTCCAGAGTCTGGGGATGCTGCAGTGGCAAAATCTTTTGACTCCCCTGACAGAACATAAACTCTGTGATGCCGACAAAATATTGTAATAATGATGATGACAATTATTATTATGTCCTGGTGCCATGAAAAAAATAGCGCAGAGTCAAAGGATAGGGAGGAGGGGAAATGGCATTTTAGATAGATTGGTTTGTGCTCGGAACCTCCTGTTGCTGTGTACGGACTTCAACGAAGGGAGCGACCCCGGACGCCAGGGTGTTCTCCACAAACCTTTCTTTTGCGCTTAACCTCATCAGGATGCTGACCTTAGGGAGCAGGAAGGGCACGCAGGAGTGCAGAGCGCATGCTCCCTCTAGCTCTGCGGCTCCGAGCTTTCAGGGTAGGATTCTGCGGGCCGGGAGGACAGTGCGCAGGCTCCTTGGGTTAAAAGGCACCGCCCAATAGGAACTTCCTTTTCAGGTTGTGGCTCCGCCCCCACAGCCAACTTTTCTGTTTCCGCTTCCGGCGTTGCGGCGGTTCTGGTCGAAGATGGCGGCGGCAGTTGTACCCAGGGTTTCTGGGCTGCTAGGTCGTTCCCGGCTGCTGAGCCGGCCTATGTCGAGTGGCGCCCACGGCGAGGAGGGCTCAGGTACTGGGACTGGGTGCGCAGGGCGGGCCTCGGCCGTACTGGAGAGAGGAGCGGCGGGACTGTGACCTTGGCTTGAGGCCTTGGGGGAGGGAGAGGAGACCCGGGCGCATTACCGCCAGGCCTGAGCGTCGGGCCCCCTCTGCAGCTCGCATGTGGAAGTCCCGCACCTACTTAGTGGCACTCCCCGGGGTGGGAGTGAGCATGCTGAACGTGTTCCTGAAGTCGCGCCACGGAGAGGAGGAGAGACCCGAGTTCGTCGCCTACCCCCATCTCCGCATCAGGTCCAAGGTACCCCTTGTAGTCTGTTCGAGTGTCTCTTCGCTTTTCATTGCTAATGCCAAGTTCTTCATTCTCTAAAAGCGTGGGTGCCGTGCGTGTACAGTTTCTCATTTAATCCTCCCAAACACATTTTTATTTTCTCCGGTCATATCTCACTTTCTTCTTCAAGGTCGTACAATAAGTGCCCTTCAGTTTTCCTTTCTCCGAGTCATCCCACCTTTTGCCTTCTGATACTGTTCTGAAACAGTTGTCGGTGGTACAAAACCTGGAGATTTGGGAAACTCCCTTAGACTGGCGAAGTCGGAAGGCAGTTCACCTTTCTAAAACCTGGGCATCTGGAAGCTACTAGCTGCATAATGAAAAGATTGACAGCTTCTGTTCACCTCTGTGCTAGTTATCATCCCAACTATGTCATTCTTTGGCTATTGATGCAGATACATTATAATAATTATTACCTTACTTAGCCCAGGTAGGACTGGAAAATTAAGCAGGATCCTTAGATCCAGAAAGAAGTTTTTTGAGTCTGAGCGCCACTCCCACCCTTGTACAATAGAATTAGAAGCCGTGCAGTAAGGTTTCTTAACCTCAGTACTATTGACATTTGGGGCTGGATAATTCTCTTTGGGGTGAGGAGGGGCTGTCCTGTGAGTTATAGGATGTTTAGCAGCATCTTTGACCTCTGACCACTAGGTGCTAGTAGTATCCGCTTCTCTCCCCAAGATGTCTTCAGATACTGGCTTACGTCCCCACAGGGGCAGAATCATCCTGGGCTGGAAATCACTGCCCTAGAGCAATGCTTTTCAAAAGTAGCATGCAAAATAACTGAGGGTATGTTGCAGTTTCCAATCCAGAGATTTGTTTCAGGTCCAGAAATCTGCATTTAAGTAAGCATCTCTGCCCCCATACCCACCTCTACCACTTTGATACAGGTGATGGGAGGATTGCACTTTCAGAAACACAGCACTGATGTACAGGTACCAGCGAGAGGCTTTTGAGTAACGAACTTGAGCTTGCTTTTCATACTGTCTACTTTACGGGCTCCCCTGGAATTTATAAGAGCTCCCTTAGATTATGGGAGGGCTGAAATATGCCAGTAGTTAAAGGACTAATTTCCATTTTGTTTTTATGTATTATCTGTTACCCTACTTTAGGCAGTTCGTGGTAGTGTTGTTTCTGAACTATTTTCTGGAATTGCTTAATTGACATCTTCACTCCACAGCCCTTTCCCTGGGGAGATGGTAACCATACCCTATTCCATAACCCTCACGTGAATCCGCTTCCAACTGGCTATGAAGACGAATAAAGAGAACCTGGGCCATTACCCAGTGGGGACCACAGCACTGGTTTGGACCATTACTCTGCACACATGGACCAGAAAAGTGTTCGAGACCTTAAGCTCACCTTCTTGTATCCAGTGATGACCATTATACTTGATGACCATTATACTGATCTTCCGTCCCTTTGCTTATGGCAGGAGATGGCTTAAATAAATTTAGTCATGAGCTGAGAGTTGCATTCTTTGGTGGTGTTTTTCCCTCAGAAATTAACATTGATGTTATTTCTATTTCTGCGGTGAAGGTCTGCGGCTGCTGTTTACGGTGTTTCAGGTCCAATTCGGGCCTCCAAATAACAATGTTTGTAACAGGCCTGGCATTGGTTTCTTGTGCCTGGGGTGGGTAAAGCAGATACCACAAGTCAAGCTAATTAAGGGTCAAAACTGCGTCCTGGCAGACTTCAGGTGGCAAAGACACCAGCATTTGCTGAAGAATTCTCCCTATAGTCAGATAATTTTCTCCAAAGATGTCAAGTTCTCATCTTGGGTCATCTCTCAGCTCCCTTAAGGCTGGAAATTTATTGGAGAAATAAAGGCAGTGTGACACATTTCTGCAAATAGAACTGGGTTTATTTGTTTCTGGAACTAAAACCTTCCTGTAGCCATAGGAATTAGGAGAGATCACCATTAAAGAGCAATTAAGATTTCCTCTTCAAAATTTAAAACGTTTTTAGTAGTTGAGATAGTGGGAGCCATTTTATGGGCAGGATAAAGTCAAAATAGCATGAGGAACAATCAGAAAAAAATTATTCCCTCAGTAGCAATTATAATAACATTTGTTTTATTCTCAAGGCTCAACCAGACAGTTTTGTGGTAAGATTCAAGAGCCTATAAGGTTTTACTGGCTTGTGGCCAGGCTTATTTCAGGACAGTTATACTTAACTCCAGCTTGCTGCCTGGACTCCCTCAACTGGGTTCCAGATATCTTTTGTATAATGGACCTTAACCTGTCAAAATATAAATGCAGAATGTATTGCAATGACATGAAGGACTGGTCACATTAAATATGAAGTTAATTGGTAAAGTGGAGAAGAGATAATAGGATCTAGGACTTCTGTAAATCAAGTTTCATACTATATGGGCACATAAAAAAAATTGAACCACATTACTCAAGATATGCAATTGTGGAGACTACATGACATTCTAAAGTGTGTAAGTGCTCACCTGATCCTGACATTTTTTGGGGTGCCATTATATAAACATTTTAAGATATCTGTGTAGCTTGCTGTGGAAGTTTTAGAAATCAGTGGTTTCCATTTGCTATACAATACTACCTAGCTTAGATAAATCTTCATTTTAAAATGATAAAAAACTCCCCCCAGTGTATATATGGGATGTGTGGGGTTACAGGGTGGTAGTTCCATAAAGTGCACTGAGTTTCAGGGGCAAATAATGATAGAAACGAAATGTTACAGTTTGTTCCATCTTCAGGATTACAGGCATTACAGGGCAGGGTGGGTAAAGGAGGCAAATAAAGTGAACTCTTTTCTCCCCCCATTTAACCAGATGCAGCATTTTGGCACTTTTATGATACACAGGTTGACTTAATTCATTTACTTAAGTTGAAAGCTGGCAACAGCAAATCTTTGCAATTTAGGATCCTCCTGCATAGCCACTCCAAGGATCTTAATTGCTGAACTACACCATGAACTCTGAGATGGTGTTCACAGTGTTCTTGAAGCTTTCACATCTTAATATGAGATCTGACACCTCTTCTTAAGATAGGGAACTGTTAAAAGCTGTCTTCCTCTTGGCTAACCCAGTCCACCAGCAATCTTAACAGTTAAGTTACTATATAAAAATAAAACTGCTCCCAAGCATTGGTCGAAACTGTTGTGCTGGGAACCCTTTCCAAAGCATTATCTCCCTGAGAGAAAAGAGAGATCCTAACCAGTTGCTTCCATGAACAGTAACCCCAGTACAGTGTACAAGTAATGCCCTTCGAAGCATAACTCAGGCAACCTTGGTCATCCTGACAAGCTTATCAGCATTTACATCCAAGATACATTTAAAACCGATCCCAGACCAAGTATTGCAACCATAATCCCATTATTTAGCACACTGAGTTCCTGCT